AAAATCTGTTTAAATAATAAAAATGAAACCATTTTATATTAAGACCTAACCAGCTATAACAAACTGAATGTTTATATAACTGTGTTGTTGATTATATATTTATCACTCCCTGACCTCTGCACCCTGCTTACATGAATAATCCCAAAATAACATGCTTGAAAATTATTTTTATTTAAAGATAATAAATTTTAAACATTCATTTTCTTGTGTGTATGCTAAATTATTTCCCTATAAATTTATGTAAAAACCCCAAATCCAGGAATGTTATTTTAATTTCGTTTTTTTCTGTGATATGTGTTTAGAAAAATGTTATGTTATTCGTGACCTTCAGATTTTATTAATGAAATAATATTGAATATTACATAGTTTCTCTGTCATTTGCTTTTCTTTCTAGTTATAGAATTATTCTGATTTTTGTATATCTGTCTACCTGTTTCATTTTCTTTTGACGATTGTAAATATTTAAAATGTATTCATGTATTGTTTCTACACTTGTTAAACCAACTTTCAAATGTCATCCATTTTAGAAAATACATCTAATTTTATTTCCATTCTTTTTAAAATTATTCAATTCTAAGTGAATATTTAGATCTCTAATTTTTGTGCTTTTCTATTGAATTGTGTGCTCCATTTTTATTCATTTTATTTTTACTTGCTATACAACACATGCTTGTGCATATAATGTGGATATATAAAAGAATACATTCTTTCATTTGCAGATTAATAAAACCTAGTTAATAAACTTCTTTAATTTTATCTTCGATAAAATATGACTGAGAATATTTACTAATATTTCTTAAAAGGAAAATGTTTATATCCAGCTGGCAATTATTGAAAGAGAAATCTTTTCAAGCTCCATGGCAAATGATGAATGGAATAGTTTTACTTTGGGAAATTTGTCTGAAAATTGAACCAATTATTTTGCAAGAATGTAATACTCATCTTGGCAAATATCAGATTTTTAAAAAAAAATAAAAAGTAGTACATGCTTGTGTATGAATTTGATTGGAAAATGTTCTAGATCTTATTTGAATGATTGCATTATAAGTTTAAAAAAAAAAAAAAATGGAAATTAAAATATTTTGGCAGTTAGGAGTAGATAGGTATTTTGAATAGGAGTAGGGGTTTATCCCTTGTTTCCTGTTTAGGATTGGGTTTCTGGTTCCTTTTAAAGTCTTCTGATTCTCTTTTACTCCCAGTAACATGTTGTGTCTTAGGGGCATTAAAATAAAATAAAATTTCTTTTCCAAGATTGGAGAATGATGAAAAACTGTTACATTTTTAAATAATTTTTTTTTTTTTAAAATAAAAAAAAAACAAAAAGAAAGTGGCATGCCATCATACTTATGTGCTCACAGTTATTCATCTGAATTTTTTCTGAGTTAATAACAAATGTTTCTTGTTTTTATATGTATATAAAAATAAATATTCTCTTAAGGTGTGCGATATTTATGGGATAAAGTGCTCAATATCAGAGATAGAGCATGTGTAAATATACATATGAGTATTTTCTGCATTAATTGTAATATTTCTATACTATTTAAGTTCTGTTTTTATTTATTTTTTTTAATATATATAATTTTTAATTTCATAAAAATATAGCTTATGTTTCTTGTAAATTTTAACAACTTCTTTCTTAAGTCTGGATGTACTATCAATGCAGACAACAAATGACTGCTTCTTTTATAAAAAGTACTAAATAATCTTGAACTTTATAGACTGCCAGAAAGTAAATCATTTAATATAATGAACTCAAGTCTTAAAGAACTGTCCAACTAGGCAGTACCTCTTCTTTGGGATGTGGCTAGGGTTATTATCTGGTGCTTGAGGTGTCCACCAAAAGAGAAAGGTTGAAAAGGATTGATCATTACCCCATCAAGGCACTTGATGTAGGACTCCATGTTGAGTCTGAGGCTCTGTGGGAAGATGAATGGAGGAATTACGTCATCATCACTAGTGATCACTCCAAGCATCATGAGGTTAACTGGATATATCATCCAACTCTTTCTGAATCCTCTGCACTAGGCTCAGATTGACACCCAAACACTCTGAAATGTTAGTTTCCAAATTTCTGGCAGTGTATTGTCGTGGTGCTCTTTTTTTCTCACAGATGGTGCCCAACTGACCCTACTGTACTGTGTAATCTACAAAATCAAAAACAACGGGCATGTGTAAAATTAAAATTATAAAATGGCCACAATTTACCCATCACACCCTGTATAATATTAAAAGATGCTGATGGAGTCCTTGGCCTAAATCACTTCACAAACCTGAACAAATACATATATATCTCAGATAAATATATATTGTGTGTGTGCCAAGTACTTTTCAGCACTCCCTTGTATCTCTGAATAAAATATACAATGTCTGATATTCTTACATCAACCTGAATTTAGTTTGTTTATTTTTGACAGTTTGTATGAGACTTGTAATTATTTGTTGTCTGCAGTCTTACAGAAACTGTCTCTAGAAATGAATTTCTCTTCTTTTTTATTTACATAACCGTTCCCTATGGCATTTTTATTATAATCCTCAAGAGGTGTGAAGAGGTCTGATGATATTTGGACACTGTGTGTCTCCTCCCTCTTATGTTCTTTCATTCACCCTCAGGTGACCGCATTAAATGCTCTGTATGCTGTTATATGTACTTGAGGAGTATTCATTTCTTTTCTGCTCTTACTTGCTGCTTATTCTGAAAGTAACAATGAGAATAATCATAGCAGGATACTAAGAACCACTTGTAAACTCTGTGTGTGTGAGAGAGAGAGACTATATTTTCTTCTACACAACTTAGAAATATACTTGTGTACAAATATTTTCTCTATAAACTTCACTCTTTCCTTCGTCGTCTCTTTCCTTCGTCGTCTCTCTCCTTCGTCGTCTCTCTCCTTCGTCTTTGTGTCATAAAAATATACATTGAAAAATCATAGGAACAATTTTTTCCCATATTTTCCCTTGCTAAAAATTCTTCACTTTTGCATGAACATCACTCACACATCTGGACATTAATTCTGTATACAATGGGGGGAGGGGGAAGTAAAGCTCATTAAAGTGATTCAAAATTAAGATTCATTAATGGGTGTAAATAATTTATAGATTTTTTTTTTTTTTTTATTTTTTAGATTTTTCTTTCATATGAATATTATGGCAAAACATTTTCTGTAATCACTGCTTAATAATAATAGAAGAAAAAAAAAAACGAAGCCAAAATATGAGGATTATAATGCAATTTTGTAGAGCTCAAAAGACTTTGTCTAATATGTGAAAAAGTTCCTTTCAAGATCCAGTAACTATTTGAGATTCAGTTTAAGAATGGCACATCGATTGTGAGGACTTTACATACTACCATTATGCAAACACTTTGCTGTTTTCTTATTAGAAATGCCTTAAAACCTTTCTCTAAATATTACTGTATGTTTCAACTTGCTCTCCTGAGTCATGTTGGGTTCAAGCATTGTTGAGGCACCAAGAAACAAACTCAGACATGAGTGTCACTGCCGATGACTGTATGTTTATTAGGACTTGATACAATATGAATTTAAAAAAAAACATTTTTCAGTTTTTCATGGAAACAAGATTTTTTATTTTATTTTTTTTTTTTTTTTTGTGTGAGTAATATATATATATATCTCATTTGAAGATCACAAATTTGTTCCAATTATGCATTGTCATAAATTCAAAATTTATATTAAAGTTGTATATTTGAACAACATTTGTCTATTTCTGGCAGCTTAAGTAAGTGCGTTTTTGATGCAACACTTGCATGTCTTATAAAAACTTACTTGAAACTTTGCAAAAATTTGTAAAAAGATTAAAAATGAATCTTTTTCTATAATTTTCTTAATTTGATTCCTTCAATTTTTCTCCAAGTGAAAAAACAAATTATTTGTGCTATTAAAAATGCTTGATATGTATCATGGCTTTGTTACTTTTCAGAAGGAGCTAAAATTTATTTCAATTCTATTATCTTTAGTGATAATACAATCTTAGAGGTAGTAGAAAAATAGATTCCTTTTATTAACCTTTCTCTATTTACTGAAACTTTGACCTATTTTAATATGAAATGCTGTTTTAAACTATTTTGTTCTGACTAAATTTTAGATTTTGTGTTTATTTGCTATTGAAATTAATGAAAGAATATTGCAACAGTGATGTTATTACATTGATATTACTGTATTTCAAATTTTCTCAAGGAATGGATAAGTCACTGTTTCAATAATACATAACTCTAGATTTCACTGATGTGCAAAAACATTTGAAGAAAGCCTGACATAATTCATGAAGATGTGACACTTGAAAACTATCAAAGAAGCACAATGTATACTAATAGATGCAACCTTATTAACACACAAAATATTTCCATGATAATGGATTATGAAAGGCAAAACTGCTAAGATGACATTTTACAATTTATATTTAAATTCATCTGGAAACCAGAAAAAATGGTCACAACAATAGAAAAATTTTGTAAACCTTTTGATGGCCTTCAACTAAACTATTATAAATGAAAAATTGTTACACACACACATGCATGCATGCGTATACACACACACACACACACACACACACACAAAAATGAACTTCTAAAATTAATTTAGTCAGAGATGGAAGTATTTATTCTTGATAGCCAGCAAGAGGGCAAAAGTTTCTTCATTTTACTTACAAGAAAATCACTCCTTTTCTTTTACCCTCAACACTTTTTAACTCTTACCTTTTTTTGGCCCTTTATAATACACTTAACTTTCATTTTAAGATTCATCATATGCTTGAAACCATTTCATAACAAATTATGCTTTTTTTCTCTCTCTACTACACATTTTTTTTTAAAAATACAGTATTTCAATAAGCTACTTACCAAAAAATGTACTACAAAGAAGTTATTTTTATCTATTTTAATCATTTTGTTTAATGTTTACATATTTGTTTAAATTTGATTTGTATTTAAAAAAAAAAAAAAAAAAACCCAAAACTTTTCTTTTCTTTTTTTTATCATCCTTTAGCCGTCTAGAATAGTTAAGGTGCATAACCAGGTAATCTACAGTCATTTTTTTTTTTTTTTTTTGTGCATCTGGAATGTAGCATGTCGATCTTTCTTCTTCCTCCTCCTTCTCCCTTTTTCATCTATTCCAAAGGAGATTACATGTCAGTTTTATATACATAAAAATATTTGCATGCTAATGTATTGTTTTGTAGTGTCAGTTTATTAATTTGGTGTCAGTTGATCCCACTTTTTGAAAAGCAATAAAAAAAAAAAAGGTCATTAATATAATCCCTTGTACTTAAGTTGTTCCAAAGTTAAACCAAATACAGAATTAGATTGTTTTCATACTCAAAACTACATAGTTCTAAGTTAAATCCTGTTATTTCTGTAGCCTATACTTTGATATTAAATGAATTATTCTGCTTCATTCACATTTTAAAGTGCTAGATGTGTACAATGGGTTAATCTTAAGTGGTGGTTCACTAGCATTTATGATATGCTGAGTACATTAAAAAAAGTAGTTTATAAGATTTTGACAAGTCTAAATATTTTCTAAAACTTTGATACTTGCTTCATCTTTCTATTTTTTTCTTTCTTGTATTCATTAACATCAACCCCCAATTTTTAAAAATATGTATTTGGTTATAAAATCTAGAAATGTTAAGAAATCTAGATATTGACACAATTCACTCTTTTGTTTTGTGAATATAAATGTATATACAGATGTCTAGCCTTAATATTAAAGAGCTCACATTTTTAACATATCTTAAGCAAAAAAAAATGAAATAAAATTAATGAATAAAAATAATTCCTCTTTTTGCATGTTTAATTGCATTTATTTGACATGCATGGTTCTCTAAACTACAAACAGGTTTAGGTTAAAGAGTAACATTTTACAAATTTTGCATAAGCGCATTTTCCTTTTCTTTTTTCTTTTTCTTCTTCCCACCCTCCACCTTCTCATTTCTGCAGTATATATTGTTATATCTTGGTGATTGTTGTTTGTCTACAATTTGGACATGTATAATCGCACATTGAATGCTGATGTTAATAAAATATTGCTCAATGAAGATTGTGTTGTGCTATCAGTGATGGGAGATATATATAGTAATGCCTTGAGATATGAGTTTAATTTGTTCTAAGACCAAGCTTGTAACTCAAGACTTGTATCTCAAATCAGTTTTCCCCATTGAAATTAATGATTATATTTCCGATCTGTTCCAGGCTCCTAAAAATTTACCATTGCTCTTTACACTTACTTTCTTCAGACCCATGATGTCACAAAAGGAATTTTGCAAAATAATGGCAAAAAAAAAAAAAAACCCACAATACAACAGAGATCCTTCCAGAGCAGATTTGAACACATGTACTGCAGATGCTTAATTGAAACTCGCTCATATCTCAAGCCAAACTCTGGCTAATATCTCGAAAAAAAGTCATGTTGGTATGCTCGTATCTCAAGGTACAACTAATATATGTTTTGTTAAAGACTACTGACAAGGTACTGCAATTAAGCTCTTTATTTAATTTTTGTGTTAAATAAAAAGCTTAATTGCAGTACCTCATCAGTCATCTTTAATGAAACTTGTATAAAAGAGGGATTGCTGCTTAAATACACACACAGATGCCTGTTTACTAGTGTGACTGGCTAATCCCTGCTGCAGATACCTGCTCAGGCACATTTGTGTTTGCTCAACACCCACAGAGCCCACCTGTGGTTTATACTGCAACTATACTGAGCAGACCTTAGTCCCAGTTTCTGGGAGGGAGCACATTATCTAATATGATCAACAGTCTGAACAAGTCCAGCACGCTCAAACTCTCGGACATGATAACTTGTAGCTTCAGGCTAGCACAATCATTGATGGCTCCCAAAGGGTTCAAGGCTTGAGTCAACCCCTGTTTTTATATATATATATATATATATATATATCTAAAATAAGTCTGTCTTGAAATCAACCAATTCCAATATATTTTAGAAAGTGCTTGCTACCTAGAATATATAAATATATATATATATATATATATATATATATATATGAGAGAGAGATATGGGATTGTTTACAAACAAATCATTATCAGGGTTTTTTTTCTCTCTCTCTCCTTTCTAAAGGACACAAACACACATGTATGTTGCGAACTTTGACTAAGGGTAGTTGCCATACTTGTTGCACTTGACTATGAGGGGATTTTTATCAGGAACCATCTTGCAATAGAGTTCAGTAGCCAAATTTTTTATTCCTAGTAATTTTGGAGGGGGTTCCACTCCTAATTTTAAATTAAGTTATTCTTCATGTAGATGGTATTTATCAATTCACCCACAGGAATTGAATGTGGCACAAGGCCTTTTTAATGTGGGTATGTCCGAGCCCAGAGGCCCAGCCAAAAATAAAACCCATCTAAACCCGTCCAAGCGGGCTAGTTCCGTCAACCTCCCCCAACGAAACCCTACCCTTCATGGAGCTTCGTCAGGGTTCCTCTCTGCAAGCAGAGAGTTCGACAGACACCCGGCTCGGCAGCTCACAAAGCGCAGATACTACACTTTGATCCTAGCCACCGGGCCGAGCGGGTATTCTTTTTATAGATACTTCATGTAGATGACCAACCAAGACATGTGAACCCAGTCTATCCTGCTATTTTATTCATAGTTGTGGAAATAAATTCTTTCCCAATGACATCAGTACAAAGTGAACCTAAATAATTATCTCTGCTGGAATTCAAACTCTACTTGCCAATTCCAGCTTGACCATAATGCCACCCAAATTTTGCATATATATTTAGATGTGCACTCACATTCCCTCCCAAAGTAGTCTTTTATGGTAGGAGAATACATTTTTCTAATTTCCTCATCTTACATGTATATGTGAATTCGCATTCATTCATTGAAAACTACTAAAACGTTTCAACACTTATAATCTTGAGTATTTCATTGTTTGTATGAAATGAATGTTTCTATAGTTTGAGAATAAATAATAAAAAAAAAAGTAAAAAAAAAAAAAAAAAGGTGGGGGAGTTTAATCATTTTGCATTTGGTTAGTGAACTTATTGAAAATAAGCAGTTTAAAATTTCAAATTTAAAAGTTCAATTTTTGTATATGCCTAAACAATAAATGACCGGTTATTCAAAGTAGATGTTTATTTAAATAGTGTGACACTTTTATTTTGGCCTGAAATTTCATTTTTCTTGACTGTCATTCTTGAAATTAGTCAACAACCTAAGCTCTCATCACAAACTTTAATAACTTTTGTTACTTGTATGTAATGATCTGTAAACTTGGATGTGTGGATGGTGTAATAGATAACAGCTCAGAATTGGAAATGAGAGAGCAGAGTTCTAATTCCAGTCAGGTTCGTTATATGCACTTATGTGTAAATACCATTGAGAAAGGTATTAATTCACTTCTCCCTCCAGCTATGGGTTAAATAGAAGTTGTATCAGTAAAATCATTATCTCCATAAAATTCTTATCTAAAAGTATTTTCCTGTTTTAAATAACCTTCAAAAGGTTAAGCCATAAAAAAAAGTCAAAAACTGCTATGCAATTAAAATTGTACAAAATCACCTAGTATCATGGTGTTGCTGGCAAGTCCCTTGTCTTTAAACTTCTTCATGTTAGTCACTCCATTTCTGTACTTTTTCTATTAAAGTGTACAATTGTCTGAAAACTATGCATGCATGTCTTTCTCTCTTGATGCACATAGAACAAGTTGTCATCTCCTTTCCAAAGAGCATGAGCTTTTTGAATAAACATTTCTTTAAAATGTTATCTATTTTCTAATATTGGTTTTAGCTCAATCACTAAGCCAGTTTAGAAAAGATGATCATTGCTCATGTCAGGCATTGTTTGTAGAGAAACTCATTCTTTTGACCTTCTTGGCTACCTGTTGCCCTATTTAGCTGCTAAATACACATTTTCCTACAACCACTTACCATTCCAGAAGTAAATGCCTATAATAGGTAACTGCAACAGTAAAAATTTCAAGGCTATCAGATTTCTTTCCAAATAATTGGATATTGACTAAAATAAGCAAATGAGACAGCGGATCTGGATCTGTCTGGTTGAAACTGTTACAGTTTCATTAGCCAAGTTTAAGATTTCAGAATTATTACATGAAGGCTAAACTAAAAGAAATATTAGGTTTTGAACTTTCTTCATCAGTTATATGGAACTTGGATTATAGATGTTTAACAAATATTGAAAGGGATTTCTGGTTTAACACTTTTTTTATATCTTGAATAGTGTAGTCTTTTTTATATATGTATATGAGTTGAGATCAAATATGGATCAGAATTCAACAGAATAAGTTAAAGAACAAATAGTTGATGTGAACAACTTGTATCCAAGTTCAATTTGTACAAAAATACCTTAACAATTTTGAATAGAATCTCTAATTTTATTCATTATTTAACATGTTTCACTCATTATCTGAAACTTTAGTAAAACATGTTAGATTAATATACATTTCCTATTTCTTATCATATATTATTATAAAAGAACACTTGATTCTAAAGAACACTTGTTGGCTGCAGCAGAAATTTCATTCACACTTGAAATATTAGACTACAATGACAAAAACTCCTATCTGAAATTTTTGAGTTAATTTTATAATAGAAAAGACTAAATGCCTAGAAATGTTGATGTGAACAACTTGTATCCAAGATCAATTTGTACTAAAAGATCTTAACAATTTGGAATAGAATCTCTAATTTTCAGGAAGTCATTTTCTGCTGCTGTTCTTACTATTGAGTCACACTTTCAAGATTGTATTTTATTTATTTTTATCAGTAAGCATAGGAAATCATCAGGGATTGTTCATGTTGATTAATTAATCTGTTTAGACTTAAAATGGGAACTATTTCTCTGTGCACTGTTTAATTGGCATAAAGGGAGCATCATTTCCCTGCAGTGTTTTAAATGGTGTAAACAGCCATCATTTCTTTTTTTTTTTCCATGATTTAAATCAGTCTTAAAAAAAACAACAAAAAACACCCTACCATTCATTGCGTATAATCATTTCAGACTTTAAGAGTAAATAAGTTAATCAATAT